GTTAATCACTTTTATGATTATATGTAGCAAGAGAAATTAGAATTGTTTTAATCATTTTAACAGCTTTGGCTTCTGTACATATACAGAAGCGAGTAATAACAGATATTTTAATAATTCCCAGAAAAAACTCTTTTTCCCTCATAAATATTTTTAGAAATAACATCATTTAAAACTGATGTTGTTAAAAATAGATTTATCACAATCATTACAAGTCTGCAAGGTGGGTGGTCAACTTTCCTTTGGCTTCAAATATCAACTTGTTTCTTCATTCATAGAAAATTAAATATCTAAACAAAAATTTACAAAATATTGACAACATAACAAACACAAGATGTACTGATATTGTTCAGTCATACAAGTAATTATGATTACACACCTTTATAAAAATGGGTGTATGAATATATAACTGCATGTATACAGTGTAAATATTATGCATACAAATTTATACAAAATCAATCCCCTTTTTATTTATTTTAAACAAACAGATCATGAATTTTTTAGGCATACATGAAATACTACCATTCAATCCTGGGAACTGATTTATGGCAAACTTGTGATTCATAAAACCTATGAAAAACTGATTCTGAAAGAAATATAAGGTGGCATTTTTTTAGCTAACATCAGTTATAACACACTATTATATAAGAAAAAAATGCACACAATTTTACTTTAGTTTGGAAAAGCATGTTATTAAAATGAGAAAATATCTTTATCATAACATCAATACTGTTGATAAATCACTGAAGATTCTTCCTGAGGTTCAAAAATGTTATGCTATTATTTGTTTAGAAGTTGAATTTAAGATTAAATCTTACATTCATTGGTAGTAATAAATAGTATAGAATTAATAGAAACAGTGCATTTCCTTTGTAAGTTAATCTGTTACCTCTTCAATATTAAAGTACAAAATAGTCTTTCTTGAGAATTTAATTTCAAGATGTAAACTTCAATGTAATTGTTGAATTCAAGTCATCCTCTAGCACAATGTGGTAATAAGTATTTGCATGAAACTTTTTCACTTATTATTTTATAACTAGTTTTACTTCATCTTATTTTATGCTTTTTTATTACAATACTCTTTAACTGTAAAACCAAAAAGCAAGATTTTAGAAAATAAACAAGAAACCTCAGACTACACTCAAGTTATAACCTTGGAATTTTTTACTTTTCCAAATTTATATTGTTTCCCCACCCCTAGTCAGTGTTTATCAATCCAATGCATTATGATAAAAAGGAATAAGATGAAATTATTATCATTATAAGGTAACAACTTTACATTTCATCAGTTTTAAATAGGTTTTACATATTGTTGACCATAATTACAGTTTACATGGGAATTCAGCCATCAGAAAATCAATTTTGAAAAATAAGAGTACAGTTTGATAATTTTGTAACCACTAATCCATCTTTTATATATATATATATATATATATATATATATATATATATATATATATATATATATATATATGCCCTATTAAAAGGATAGAAGAAAAGACCAAGCAAGAAATGGTGTAGTTTTGAATTGCACTTTTCAAATACTCACTTTAAAAATGATTTCACTTCTGACAACTTGGCTAGCTGTTCCATTCATTTTTGTTTTTTCAATTGAAATAAGTCTTCAATAAATAAAATTATTCTTCTTCTACATGCTATCTATTGAATGTATTTTAATGAAAGAATTACCATTGCAGACTAAAGACCTGCTTTCAGTTTAATGTTAAAAATAGTTCTGAATGTGAAAAATCAAAATAAAAGTCAAACAATCACTAAGTTTTTGTTTCCTTCTGCTTTGACCTTCAAATTAAACTCAATTCCATATATTAATGAACAATCATTTTTATCTATTTTCATTTTAATATTATTGCCTTAAGTTAATAGCTTGATTTACTGTAATGAAAAGGCTCTAACCAACCAGGTTTCAGAAAATATGAGCCATTACTCCTACTCAAAGTAGATAGGAATTTATATGTGGATAACTACATGATATTTATAATGATCTCTTATCAGCCAAATAGTGATATAAGCAAGCTTTTGGTTGGTTAATCCCTTGACCTTAGGTTCCTAGTTTTAGGAGAGAGGATGACATTTATTGAGAATTTTTCTTTTTTCTTCAAATAAAAAAAGCCACAAATTTAAAGATTCCTTGTTGGTAGATGACCAAATCAGTTAGCATATAAATTCAAGTTCTGAATCCATATTTTTCTGACATCAACCAGTTTAAACTGATTGACCCATTTTTTTTTTTTCGATATATCTAAACTATAATTTCAAAAATGAAAAATGTCACTAAAATATGTTGGAAAATATAGGAAAGTTTTTTTTTAACTGAAATCAAGTAAATCTGAACTTTAAGTAAAATGATAACAAAATATGGAAAAAAAAAAGATGATGTCATTTTAAACAGACAACAAAAGGATATGAATTAATGAATGGGATCTTGAAATGGAAATTTGTGCTCCAGCTAAAAAAGCAACTAGACTCTAAATATTTCTGCAATAATTCCCAATAATTAGTATTGGTCTCCAATAAACGTCCATAAAAAAAATAAGGCTTTATCAATAAAGTAGCAATTCATTAATGCATAAATTGTATTTTAAAAACATTTTGAAAATGTAAAATTTTACCATTGTATTTATCTTATTGTGGCATATTTATTTAAAATAGAAATTTAATTCTTTTTGGCAATATTTCAAACAAATATTGCCAAATGATTAACAAAAAAAATACCCATAAAAAATGTTTTTAAATAATGAGTTGACATTGCTTTTTTAATTCATCTTGAACACATTAAGAAATTACAATATCTCTAGATGTGAAAAAAAAATCTTTCTAGGTATGATCACAGGATATTTTAGAATACATTTAAGTTATAAATGGAAAGGTAATTTAAATGGTTTTAGGTACAATAGGTTAAAATGATTTACAAAAATGACAATATGCCATTCCAAATTTCACTTGCAAATACATAAAAACCAGGATTCTTTGTTCTTTTTGTATAAGATCAGCAAACTGATCAGGCCACTCCATTTGTTTCTGTTACTGAAGAAGCCATATTTACAAAAACAAAATCTATATTTTTTAAGCTTGAAATAATAAAGGAACTTGTTGATGAAAATGTCAAAAAAGAAATCAAAACTGGAATGTTGTTTTAAAATCAATGAATTTCAACAATATTTCATCTCAAAATTTAAAAGACATAATCAAAGATGCAAGTCGTTAACTGCACTTAAGTATGATTTGATCATCATTGCAGTTTACTTGAAGGAAAATTACAACTGCTGTTATATTCAGAGTTGATTTATTGAAAATTTTTTAAAGAAATTCTACTGCCAAAGGAATAACCATAATACCAGAGAAAATCAGGAAAAACTGATTGTTAAATATTATTTGGAAATGGTAAACTGAATGCCAGAGAAAAAGAGTTTCTTGCTCCATTAAATTTTGTTTCATGCAAGTTTGTATCTAAAAATTAAGAAATTTCAAATTTCTAAGCCAAATATGAATATCATATGTACACTGGGTTTTACAAGTTCCAGGCTGAATGCTTTGGTTCAGCTTGACACTTTTTGCTGATTTCTAATCATTTATTTTTTCATTCACCAAATAAACATGCAAGATGCTTTTCCCTCTTCAGCTCTATAACAGAACCAAACTATAAACAAGTGACATTATAGTTTCAGTCATTTGTACCAAATTCCAATGACTTCGTATCAGTTATTACAGAAACTGATTTTAAATATACATCATTTTGCATCAGGTGCCAGTACACTGTAGAAATTGTGCATTTTCATTATTCTCCTAAATTTTGCCTTTTTTTGTTATTGCTACATAAACATTCACAGCATAAAACAAAGCTATTCTTGTATTTAGATTTCTGAGCTGATTAATAAATAGTTTGTTTTATTTTCTCAGCAAATTAGTTTCTTCAATGTTGACCTGCTACTCATCTTTGTCAATGGACACTTAATATTTTTTCTTTCAGATTGTGATTTATTTAAAAAAATAAAAATAAAAAATGAAACAAAGATGAGAGAGCAGACTGAAGGAAACTGTCTATAGATTTTAATAGAAATATTTGCTAAAGCAAACAATCAGAAAGTAATAAAAATATACAAATAGGAAGAGGGTGGGTAAAAACTTCACTCAAAATATGAAGCAGTTGCTTTTACTTTACCTACCCTGTCCCAAACTCTCAAAAATACATCCACCATAATGTTTCTCCCCTCAAAGAATAAGACTTAGTTAAAATAAGCAGTAGTTCCCAACCATTTTAAGGATCTCTTATCTATATGAAATTCCTTACTTTTTCAGACCCAAAGGCCAATCTAATTATGCCAGTCATGTAAATTTACAAAAACAGAAATGATCTGTAAGCAGTGAGACATTTAACCTTGTTTTGAAAAGATTTTTCCTTAGAGAAGAGACGTTGTAATGAGACTTACAAACTCGGCACTTAAGAAAATGTTTATTCACTGTGTAATCTTTTTGAGTTATAACTCACAAGTGCAGAAAAGGTAATCGTAAATATAATACAAGATGTATTTGCCAAACAACATTTATCTATGTAAAAGAAAAAAAAATCATAACAACTTTGTCTTTAGCCTGAGTTAGCTAAAGTTTCTTAACTTGGTACCAGTGACCATTTTCAACACTTTCTCTTCTCAGCTTTCTGGGAGAAAGATTTTTTTTTTGTAGGAGGGATCTACTGGCTTTCAGGTTGGGAACACTGAAGAACACAAAACATTTTGGGAATTTTCTTGGGATTAAAGCATTTTCTCTCTCTCTTTTTTTTTTTTTTTTGGCAGAAGAGTCAATCACAGCACAAGTACCTTCAGATAAGGTTAGAAAGGCAGAAATTTAGAGAAAGAATAAGAAAGAAAGAAAAAAAAGAAAGGATATAGAAAGGATATAGAAAAAAAGTGGAGAGGAGAGGGGAGTGAGAAAAAAAGTGGAGAAAAAAAGGGGAGGAGAAAAAGAATGGTCCAATGTAGAAGAATTTACTGTGTGCAGTACTTTGACTTTTGGTCAAGATTGCCACTTGGGCTTGAGTGCCAGTAGTCACTGGCAATGGCAAGGATTACAACCAGAAGAAAGAAGACATGAAGAAACATGATCTGTTGAATACGGCTTTCAATCCGTTGATTGGCTAACTGTAGGGCTTCAATCTGCAAAGGAAAAAAACATTCTTGTTATTGATAGGGGCTACAAATATCAAAAAGTAAGGTTTAGTCAGGTCAAAAATTTAACATTCACTGCAATTTATTTGACTTATTGAACCCTAACACACATCATTTCCGTTTTTGTAGGAGTTACCATTAGAAACTGCTATATAAAACTATTTAAGCCTTATTGTTCATAAATAAAATTTATAAAACTATAAAAAAGACAATGTGTCTTTGGCATTGGTTTTTGTTTTGATTTTCTTTCAATATTGTTGTTTTTTTTTTTGTTTCTTTTTTACAAAAAAAAAACTCTACAAATCAAGGTGAAATATAACAACACTGAGCAAAGTTACATTGCACTATATATTAAGTCTTAAATAAAACCGGAATATACAAGGATCAGAGACACTAAATATTATGCCACAAATTGCATATATTACTTAAAGTAGACATTAAAAATGAAAATTCAGAAGTCACAGAGGTGCAGAATATAATTAGGTTGATAGATGAACAAGAGTCGTGGAAAGGTGCAATTGAACTTGGCTGATAGATGAACAGGTATCATTGAGAGACACATTTTAACTAGGCTGATATACAAACAGGAATCAATGGGAGGTGGGCACTAACTAGGCCGATAAACAGGAATTGCCAAGGGGCACACTTTAATTAGGCTGAAAGACAAAAAATAATCTACCAGGCTGATAGAACAGAACTCACCAAAGAGCACATTCTAATTAGGCTGATAAATAAACAACTAATGAATGATAAAAACAAATTTATTTTTGTTTTCTATTTCTCAAAGTGATTTCATATTAATCTCATTTTTGTGCTGCCAATCAAAAATGTTCTATTTCTCTATTAAATATCCATCCTGTGACTTGCAGATTCATGAGAAAATAATAAAAATAATAATTATGTTGTTCTGTTGTGTTCTTTCCATTAATATTGCTACATAAATTAGAATGAAGTTTGCAGTCATTTATTTTTTTTGATGACTACATTGTAATAAAAAGTTTTCAATCTGGTTTAAATACAAGGTGATACCCAAGGCTTTGGAATTTGAACAGATTGAGTTTTTATTCATCAACTTAACCAGTGTTTCACCTGACATTTCACACATCTCTCTAAATTAATCTATCAAGAAATAAAATAATATTTTCTATTCATTTTTTCTTTGAGCAACCTATTACATATCTGAAGTCTACAGACCTTTTTTTTGCAGCACTTTATACCATGTTTACAAAATGTCAACTCATCTCAATTTTCTAAGCATAAGAAAAAGCCAATTTTTACAATAAAAGAAAGAAAAATCACTTTAAAGTGAACCACTTGCAACAGGAGTTGAGGAGGGTGGGTGCAGTCTGATCCGGCTGATAAATGAATGGGAGTTCAGCATAAGATTTAATTTATCAAGAAGTTAAAAGTAAATTCAAAAATTGTTTACTTTTTCAGTCAAGATGTTGATGTCACTTGTTGGCTTGGAACGAACCGGTTCGGAATTTAATATACAACGTAATCTGAAAAGAAAATGTTTTAAATATAAAAATTAGTTGAAACTTGAAACTTGGACAATATTCAAAGTAAGAGAAATTCTAATAAGTTTACAATTGTATCTTTAAGCATCTGTGGATTTTGCAGTAAAGAAATTAAAGTGGCAGTTTGAAGTTTCCTCACAAATGCCAAGTTCATGAGCTTCATTAAAAGAAATTCAGTAAAAAAAAAAAAAAAAAAAAAAAAAAAAAAATTTAAACATTTTTGTTTAAACAAAATGTTTTTAGCTTTGAGCATTTTTTTTTTTTAATCATTCATAACTTAGGTTTATACGAGAGATTTAAAATTTGCCTTGAAAAACAAGCTACAATGACACTAGAATGTCATGTAAATACTAATGATATGCAGTAATGGTCAAATATACAATATCAATATGACAGAATTTTACAAAAAAGAAAAAAAAAAATGTTCATATTTATTCATAAAATGGTAAATAATAAATATAGCATTGATGTTGGTTTTTATATTTTTAAATTTTTTTTAGATTTTTAGACATTTTTGAATAAAAAGATTTTTCAAATTTATTTCTTTATAAAATGGTAAATAATAAACATCATGGTGTAATTGGTTCACATCTTGTAAATAAACATTACCAAAGGAGTCTTGCTAATAAATAGTGGTGTTAAAAGAAAAAACATTTGAAACACCATTTTTCTTTTCTTTCTTTTTTTTGCAGGCACAAAGCTTAAACATTGGCAACATTTCAAACTATGATTTGTATTAACTTCAATCTAAAAACAAATTATTGATAAATATACAGAAAACAAGATTGTTTTTTTTTGCATAGAAAGAAGCTCTCAGAACATTTAGATTTTCATAAGTTACATGTGTTAAAGGCACTCTATAATGAAAAACTTGTAAAATCTATATTAAAACTATAGTTTTCTATATAAACTTGTTTCAACACACTGCAAAACTTCTTTGAGAGTGGAAGAAAATTCAAGAATACACAATCAAATAAAGAACACAAAAAGAAAATAGAATTCATAAGAGACTTAAAATAACAAAAAGCTCTTAACCGATATATATGTGTGGGTAGAATGGAGATCAACATGTTTTAGTGGACTCGGCAATTTTCAATCTGTTTGTCTGAATCATCTTCAAGAAGCGAGAGCAAGATCTAAAAGGTCAGCCAATCTAACAGTGATCTCATCTCATAATCCTCACATTTGTTCCATGTGTCCTCCTTTGTAAATCACTAGCGAGTCTTAAATGCCGCTTAAGATTATTGCACAAACTTTCATAACTGAATCAATAAGCTGTCAGATCCTCATACGTCAAAACCAACGGGAGAGTCCATTATTATTATTATTATATATATATATATATATATATATATATATAAATAAATAAATAAACGCAAGATCTGACGAAGTAAAATATTACCATGACTTTCTGAAGACTCTGATTTATTAATTAATTATATATAAAGGCAAAAATATATTGTGGAAAATTGAACAAAATATTTTTGACATTAACTTTATTGAACAACATATTTTCCTAATTATTCCCCTATAGTCTACCACCTTCACCCTCCAATTTTTTTAATTCTTAGTACAGAACTGCCATAGCTGCCATTTTGCAATCTTCCAAAATCTTCTGAATTTTTTTAAAGAATTCTATAACAATCACAATGAATAGCAATCTGGAGGTGCAGTATCTGGTGAGTGAAAATTTCCAAGCAAACATCTATTAAAAAAAAAAAAAAGTGCAATCTTTAAAGAATATTATATGCCTTTGTTAAAAGCAATCTTCAGTTGATTGAATTGTGAATAGTACTTATTTAAATCAATCATATGATTCTCTAGGGAATTAAGAGCTTATAGATGAGTACAGCTGCCCAATACCACCATATGAAAATCAGTTTTTGATATATTTAGTGGTGTTTTACTTTGTCCCGATATTACATTCCATGTTGTGGTAAAGTGTCAGCTTTTCATTTTTGCTCCATTTAAGTAGCCAATGCCAAACATGTGAGCAACGACAACATTTTAGAGAAAATGGAAACAAAAAGGATTTATACTTAACACCAGAAAGAGACAGTGAAATTTCTAGGGCACAATGAGGAAAGAGGACTTGGAAAATTTGATACTCACAGGAGAGAGAGGGAGACAGGAAAACAACGCATAACCTACCTAGTGAGCTTGAGTAAACGGATGGTGGGAAAAGGTTTAGGAGAGATAACAAAAGCACAAAATTTATTAAGTGCTACAAAGGTCAAGAAATTGTGGAGAGACATGATTACCAATGTCTTGAAAAAGCACAACATATAGAAGAAGAATGGCACACACAAATATGGGCCAGGAGAGTTATTTGGGAACATATGGAAGCCACCTATTAAAGTGACTAACATAACCAATCTGATGCAAACAGTTTTCAGTGCTTGATTGGGATATTTTGAGCATGTTATCTTCTGTGTCATATAACATTAACTATTCCCAAGTATTGCTTGAATTTCTATCAGCCTCAATTGGTCACCATGAAATATTGCCCTGCATCAAATCTTCATCTGACATGTTTAATCATTCATATTTTTCATAAGCTATATAAATCTTACCTTCCTTACAAAAAAAAAAAAAAAAATTCAGTAAGCAAAAACATACCAAAAATGTTGCTTATTTTTTTCTACTCTCAATGTAAGAATCAATAAACAAAAACAAACCTAATTTGATAAAACATTTTAAATGTATACTGATTTGACAGTTGTTAAAATACAATTGAAAGAAATCTTTTTAATTCAAGTTAATTAAAATGAAACACTCCCAATTTAGTCAACTCGATATATAACCTTTAACATTTATTATTAATAACTTAGCCAGATGTACAATAACACAATACAAGTGAAAGATGGTGGGTTCAAATTAATGTTATTTGAACAATACATCTTTTTTGCCCTTTTATTTTAGAGTAGAGAAGTTTGGGTACTCTGCTCAATGGGGATGAGGGTATAATATGGTTGCTTTTCTTTTCTTTTTCATCCAAACCTTCTTAAATAACAAACCCTGAACTTGGAGCAAACAAATTTCAAGAATACACATTCTGAAGATGATTTAAATCAGTAATAAACAAAAAAACTACCTGTGTTCCATAATAGATTCCCGATGAACCGTCTTCCACATCTCTGTAACATCTTTACTTTCATCAGTCACTTCTATGGCACGGACAAGGAACTTATCAGAATGAATATGGTGTTCGAAACCTAAAGAAATAAAATGCATTAAATAAAAAGGCATTAATGGAAAATAATGAACTCAACTGTAAAAGTGAAAGTTTTCAATTTTTATATTGTTTATAAAAAGGTGAGTTTTGAATAAGCATATCAAAAGTCAATGATTTTACTTCAGAAAAATAGAAAATAACTTTTTAAGATAGTTGTCCCCATCGACCCAATCTGGCTGCTTTTGGAATTTTATTTACCAGTTATCAAAATTTCTAAAATATAACAGCTTCTGAATTAAAATATGCTTCCTAATCAGGTTTTATTTAGTTTTAAAAACCATTTCTCATTATTCCTATAAAAGATACATATTGGAAGTTTCAAATGTAGTGTTGTTTAATGTGAAGAGATAAATATAAATGAAAGCAATTGTGGAATTTTAAAAAGAAATAAATATGTTGTTATATGCCAATAACATAGAACTTTAAACATTGTTAACAGATGAATGCCTCTTAAATTTTTGACAATTTTTAATAAGACAAACAAATTACACATTAGCAATGAATTTACACACACTTCATTTTTGTAATTCTTCATTTATAAATCTATCTTTTCTAAACAGCAGTAGGGGTTTATACATCCACCTAAACTTTTATTTACTATTTATTTTTTCCTAAATAAGACTAAATAAATTCAACTATCATCTAGCACTGTGCTCCTTAAATTATGGGTTGCAACCCCAAATAGGGTTGCAAAGCAAAATGCTGGGAAAATTAAATTCAAACACTTGAATTTCAGTTTATATGTTATTTCACAAACACACAATATTTAACATGATGCACCACACAAATGTTGTGGTAATATAATCGCACATGCATCACCATTGTGACTCATGCAGTGACAATGTATGTATTCTCAGTGTAGTTGATTAATACCTGGGGTTGTGAAAAATCCTGCAATGAAAATGGGGTCATGAATGAACAGAGTTTAAGAAGCACTGTTCTAGTTCATACTCCTCCCCATTCTTTTGAACAGGAATAGCGGTTTATCTTCTGTTTCCTATTTAGGATTGGGTTTACAGTTCCTTATAAAGTCTTTTTATTCTCTTTCACTTCCCTTGCCCCTAGAGGAATTATCACCTTGCTTGGAGTGAAATGATTAATAAAAAATTAAAAAAGGCTCTTATTTATAAAGAAAAAAATTTTTTTTTAAAATTAAAAACAATTTTTTTTTCTAATTGCTATATGTCATCAGATATAAAACCCTGTAATTGAAGTACTTTTAAATTTATTTATGTGTGCAAAAATTTTCAGCATTTAAAAAAAATAAATAAATAAATAAAAAGTTTTTCATGTGTTCAGCCTCTAGATTAAAAAAATATAGGATGCTGAGAACCTTTGCACAAGCCGATATAATTCGGCCGGTATCATCTGATAAAGATGATTGCATTAGATCTAGAAGCAAGGTCTAAACCATAAAACATTGTTTTATTTTCAGTAAATTCATTAAAATATAACCAAATATCTTAAATCATAAATTCATTTTGTTCATATATATTAAATAATTTTCATATACAATACAATCTTTCATTTGCATTAATATAAACAGAGATGAACATTTCCCAGAACATATAAAAGAAAATCTTAACAAACCTGGCTGGATATGTACAAAAACAATAACAGGCGAACCAGGCATCACCAGACCTCCACTTGGACGAACTCGAAACTTTTCTGGTGATGTTGTTTTTACCTAGAGATATAAAAAAAAAAAGAAAAAAAAGAGTTTGTTATTTTTTTATATGTGGTATCATTATTTCTTTGGCTTATTATGACTCAGCTTAGCTGTATATATGAATTAAGGTATAACTAATTTATATCTTAGTTTTGTTTTGCAAGTTTTTATAGTATAAAACTTACTGTTGTCATTTTGATTTTTTGTTGGAAAAATATCAAAGTTAAGCATTAATTGGTGGTGGCATTTTTTTTTCTTTCTGAAATATATACAGGAAATATATTACAAGGGTGTGCTAAAAAGTTCTTGACCAGCCCACTTTAAAAAAATAAGAATTTTTTTTTTTTTTTTTTTTAAAGACAGGTTTTTTTGGTGATGCTGAGGCAGGACCTCCAAGTAGCAGTAGAAAATTACACACCATCTCTCTTTGTAGGATTTGAACTTGGACGGCTATGATTAAATTTGATCAATATCGCCAACTTAATGAGTAATAGTTGTAATTATGTGATAAAAATGCTATTTCAATCTGCAATCAAATCCTGAAAACAGACAATTGTACTTTTTTATTTCTTTTAATGTTATTTTTTTTTTCCTAATGATTTTTTTATTATCAAAAACATTTTTCTTCAGTAATTGATATTTCTGATGATAACTTCAGTAAGTGAAACATTTCATTTTACATGCCATATATTTTCCTTTATTTCTTTTTCACATGTTGGCCTATTTGATAATCTTTCAACAAGCCTTTATTAATAGAAAGACTACAACAAAAAAGAAAAACTTATAACAACTAAAGAAGCATTATTTTCTTTTATATACAAAATGATTTTAATTCAACTGTAAGTCTCTAGAACATTTATTCTACTTGGCTGTCATCCAATATTCATACTGCAGATTCACAACTCACGATTGGTAATCATCTAACTGATAAATGTATTGATTAAAAACAGTAGGCAAGAGATTTTTTAATTAATTGCATGTTTGATCCAGTGAGTATAAATATTCAAAATGGGGTTCTAAATTCATTTAACAATTGATACATTTAATCTCAAAGAATATTGCTTATCTTTCAAACAAGGCAAAAACCTATCATAATGAGTTTAAACATATTGAAAAGTTAAAAAAAACAATAAAGCAAACATCCAGTTTTTCCCTGATCTTCATAATGGCCAGATATAGGGTTTAAATCACTACTTCAAAAACACTTGAGCAATTCATTCATTTTTTAAGACTGTGTGTATTATCACTATATTGTGTATATATAGTCATATAACTTATCTCATTATAGTCACTGTACAATGAAATGAATAGTGACTTTATTAATACCATTCAGTTATAATATTTTTCAGTATTTTGACTGAGAATCTAAAATAATACATAGTTAATTATAACTATAGGGAATTAAAAGGAATTTAATTAAAATACATTTCCTACTAAAATTAAAAAATATTTTGTGAATGGCTTCTTGTATTATCACCATAGAGGGAACATCTATATAAGTCTACTATCTTGGCTTGTAAAAGAAGGTTAATCTGGAATTTATTTCACAGCAGTGACAGGGGGGGACAGTTTACAAAATATGCCCTGCAGTAATTCAGTAACTATTTTACTGGCTGTTTTAGTGATAAACAAAACTCTGGAAATTCTTCTCTCTATACTTTTCCCCCATTAATCTCCCACTAGCTCCCTCTAACCTTTTCCAGTGATAAACAAAACTCTGGAAATTCTTCTCTCTATACTTTTCCCCCATTAATCTCCCACTAGCTCCCTCTAACCTTTTCCAGTGATAAACAAAACTCTGGAAATTCTTCTCTCTATACTTTTCCCCCATTAATCTCCCACTAGCTCCCTCTAACCTTTTCCAGTGATAAACAAAACTCTGGAAATTCTTCTCTCTATACTTTTCCCCCCATTAATCTCTCACTAGCTCCCTCTAACCTTTTCCAGTGATAAACAAAACTCTGGAAATTCTTCTCTCTATACTTTTCCCCCATTAATCTCCCACTAGCTCCCTCTAACCTTTTCCAGTGATAAACAAAACTCCTGATATCACTCCCTCCCAATCTGCTACACTCAGAACACTTATGTCCATTGCCTGTAATATCACTGTGCTATGATAACAGTCACTCCTTTTTCTTAATTATTTTACCTCCAAAAATAAAGCCACTAAGATGCAAGGGAGGGGGGGGTTACAGAGTGTGGGAGAACATGTGAAAAAGAAAACATTATTAAGAAGAAAGAACAATAAAAGAACAGGAATTATGAGGACAGAAGATGAAGATTGACATTACATTTAAAGTTTTGAAGATCAAAGTTGGCTGGATGGCTACAAACAGGAAGAGAGTTCCACAAGCAAGAAGTGTGAGATAAGAAACTGTTAGCATAGATCATATGGTTACATCTAACAATTTCAACTGTAAAATGATGAGACCTTGCCACCAATCTAGTAGTACAATTAAATTCACAGTCTAGGTACCAAAGAGGAAAGCCCATCAGAACAATTACCATTGAAAATGTCTACAGAAAAGGCACAGGGAAGCTATATAATACTGGAGTGGAAAAGTTGAGATGCAAGGTCATGACTGATAACATTGCAGATTTGTTGTATTTTATCCAGAATATCTAAATACATGGTAGAAAAACCTGACCAGATGTGGCAGCAATATTCAATGCATGAAGAAATGGTAGACTTATAAATGTGTAAGACAGATTCTGGCAAGAAAAATTCTCTAGGATGAGACAATGAATCAACTTTCCTAGCAGTAGACCTAGCAATTGATTCAATATAATCTTTCAACTTCATGTCAGCAGAACATATTAGTCCAAGAAGGCACAAGGAGCCACTCTCTGGAGGTTAACATCAGCCATGCTGATGGAAGGTAAAACAGGTTCTCTAAAATAATTAAAAAAGTAGTTTCATTTTGGAGACAAAATAAACAAGCCATTCCTTGCTCCAGTTAACAGCAGACTGTAGGTCATTTTGTCTATCAGCTTCCAATTTAACATTATCAAACCAATCAGACTTACTATTAAGATAAGAGTAAATAGTTGAAACATTCAAACATGCATTCTCTTGTACATAAATAAAAGTTCACTAAAAATACATAAAAAAAAATTATTGTTTGACTATGGATCTTAATTATGATATCTATCAATAATGATAGATTTCTTCCTAAATATACATTATTAGATGATACATGACCCCAATTGGAGAAGTTGGCACTTCCTAGAAGACTTCCACATGTTCTTCAATTTTTTTATATATAATAAAACTTTGGCCTATAAACAAAAAAGTGACATTTCCTTTTATTTAATAACAAGCAGCAGACAGGTATATTGCATATTATGAGAGCTGAGCGAGAGAGATTTTTTACCTTGTATGCAACTGGGTTATTCAGAGTATTGGATAGGCTGATGGTGCTGAAAATTTCCTTGACATTTTCTTCAATTTGAAAACATAATTCTTCAGCAGGCCTAGGAACAAGGAAAGAATATCAGAAAAGTTAAGTAACTATAAAAATACAATTAAAAAATATATAAACTTTATAAGCAGCCCTGATAGAGCATAGGTTGGTAGTTCTCAAAGAGGAGGCATTTGGCTCCTAGAGGAAGAATTTCAAATCTAAGGGAAGTGTAATAGTGAAAAATAACTAGCTGGTTATTCAAAATGAGAGACGAGCTGGGCGAAGCCTCAGATCCAGAGAGGAGGAATGTTACTTGGGATTCTGAGAACCAATGGCCTAGAAAATCACTGATAAATGGTATTTTTATGTCGTTGCAGGAATTCATTCAATTTCTTGAAATAAAATTGATAAAAAAGAAGCTATTTTCAGAACATAATTATTCTGTGGAAATTGAAAAATTGATATCAATTCATGACAGACACAATTGACATGAAAGACCTGCATATCATTCACATGGCCATTGGGATTAAAATCTTGATTGGACTGTGTTTTCTAATAGATAATTCTAAAGCTTTATGAAACTCCCATTCCAAAATATTTGGATGAGACAGTTTCTATCAAGGTTGACAATATGTATAACACCATTTTTTTTTTTATTGTTGTTACGGACTAGACCAGTGTTTTTTAAACTTTTTTTTTTCCCTATTTTAGAATAACTAAAACTCTGGGGCACACTTTAAATTTTCATAATGAAAAATTAGTCATGAAATTTGAAAATAGGAAAATAAAAAAAAAATATCTGAAATAAGCATTTATTTTTAAGACATTATATTGTATATTTAAGTATGCGAATTTGTGCTTGATGTACTTTGGTAAAATTTTGAATGTTAGGCATTGTATGTGATAAAAATACTCTCGTTTCCACATCAATGCATTTAATATTTTATCTATTTTTGCATTTAATGCTGGTAAGTGCAGAAAATCCTAATTCACAGAGGTATGATGTGAAAAATGGCAATAAAATATTCAATTCTTTACTAGTGGAAATTTTTCTGTAATGTAAATCCAAAATTGATCAAAGAACACTTCTTTATGCTTGATTTGTAAGCCATGATCAGCAGACATAGTGATCAGTTCCTCTTCTGTTAATAAGTCAACATCAGTGAAAAAGCTGCAAATCCAATTGTATTGTTCAGTGTTTATAGATGGAAAGAAATAACTCAGATTACCTTCCAAAATTGTTAAATGATCCACCATTAGAGGGATTTAATCTTTTACATGGCCTTTTCTAACAAAAGGAAACATTTTCAAAGAGCCCGAACTAAAATTCTTTTTCCAAATCATTAGTTTTTTTCTAGAAATCTTTAATTTTGTCAATAGAGGCAAGAAAATTTTCATTCCCATTTTGCATAGATAATGTCAGATTATTCAAATGTTGAAATATGTCAGTTAAGTATTCCAACTTTGAAATCCCAAATTCACCTTCAAGATGTTTAAAAAATTACTATTTTTTTCTCAAATCATGCAAGAAATTCTTGTTAAAGTCCAAGCAAAAGACAAAGGACCTTACTTCTTGATAATCACCTCACTTCTAGTATGGAAAAGTAAGCGTTTGTGTTGGAAATCCATGTTTTCACAAAGTAACTCAGACAGACAAGCTTTTTACAGGTCTAGTTTTTAGTTTTAACAAAATTTACCATTTCAACAACCTGATCAGAAATTTCTTTCAATTTAGTGCTAAGTATTTTTACCATCAGGACCTCTCTATGCAAAAAGCAATGATGGTTTTCTACGTGTAGTTTAGACGTGGCACAAGGCCAAACGTATGTGGCACCCAGTAATCATCAAACTCGCTATTCATTCATAATTGATCTAGTGAGTGAAGCTTGTTAGCCATTACATCACATCGAAGTGCCTGCTATGCAAGAAGCAATGAGTTGTTATAATATTGGGATTCTGTTATTTTATAAATGATATAAGATCTTTAATAGAATGCACCATTGATGGAACAAAATCCTGGTACACACCAAATGCCAATAGTTGCATTTTGTTCGTTATGTCTGTTGATTTATCAACTAGAAATGCAAACTATGAATTCTGAAGCTTATTACTGCACCCATTTTCCTCAATATCATTAAACAAAACACGACTATGAACAGTATCATTTGGTAGAGGAATTTATCTTATTTCTTTTTCTGCATCATGTCCTAACATAGTCTTAACCAACTTTTTGTATGCAGGCAATAGATTCAGCAAGGGTATGTGATTTCATTTTTATGGCAATCATTTTCGGTACACAAGTAATTTGAGCTTTTTCAGATACTGCTGGTTTACTTTGAAAACAACTGCTTGCTTTGTTTGTTACTCAACTAATCTTTTAAACTGACTTGGAGACAGCAATATGACATTTGGAAATCCTTAACTTACTAGGAAGCATTAACTTATCTGACATTTTGCATCCACAAGCCAAACACAGTAGAATAGATAGAATTTCATCTCCAGTCCAAGTGAAACCATAATTTAAATAACTTTTGTCACAATTACAATTAGGCTTAAACTTATTTTTCTTGACTGGACACTTTATTACACTTGAAATAGATTCATTATTAAAATAAAGTTCATCACTGGTATATTTGTTGCTTAAATATCTATCCATTTTATGAGTAGTCAATTTATGTTTTTGATAATTTATTCACTGAGTGTCTTAAGTGAGAGCTTTGGAAAGTAGTGTAACATTGTTGTCAGAGCATCCACTGATTGACTGGCCAGAATCACAAATGTCCTTGCATTTAAGTCTTCACCTGTCATTCACTATAGTCAGCTTAAGAAGAAAATGACCTTTAATTGTTGTCATTTTTGGTTTAGCATTCCCCAAAGAAGATTAGTGGTACAATTTTAATTTAAAGAGATTTTCTTGAAGAATCTATTTTTTTTAGAGAGGCCAATAATGATTGATTTAAATCCCTTGAGGAAGCCAAAAGGGAAAGGATTATCCACTCTTTATTAAAGATTAAGGAATTTAACATCCAGTTTAAAATATCAAATGACAAAGACTTGACTTTGATATGGAAGCAATATGCTGTGTCTCTAGATTTTATTTTATTTTATTTTTTTTTAAATGTAAAAATAATTAATAAATTGCCCTTCTTTTAACTTGGGGTGCACCTGGCTAACTTTCAGGGCGCATTAGTTTACCCAGGCTATTATAACACTTCCCAGCATATGTAAAAAATGAATAAGAGTTATATGGTAAAATTTGAGCTTCTGTAAGCTAGTTGTTTTCATCACCTAATTGGTAAGGTCCCAGATAAGCAGGCATCCTGAAGAAAAATGAACATGGGTTCAAATCTCACTGACAGCTTATTCTTTATTTCCTACCCATACTGTTATACTTCAGTTGTTAGTAAACAATCTGCAAGTTATGTTTGAAAGAAAGAAATAGAAATAAAGTGCCAAAAGTTATTTGACAATGTTTCATTTTAGAAACTCTTAAAATGTTTATATTTTATAAAACAATTATTTATACAGTCATCATTAAATATGATTCTATCTTTAATTTTTTCAGAGTGTGCAAAATATATATGATGCATCGGTTTGGTTATCTAAAACAAAGAGATAAAAAAAAAAAATGAACACAAACTCATGATGGAAATAGCAGAATTGTTATTTATCAAGAACTGACTTCTTTATATAATTATCATAGAAATGGTGGAAAAAATGTAACACTTACCGAATTTGGAGAAGACGTGATCGAAAACAGTTATCTTTATTGTTTGTCCTTTTGTCAAGGGGACCCAATGCCTGGTGATGGAGGAGTTAAAAGAAGAAAAAAAATATTAATACTGGTAAAATATTTGAATTTAAGAAGAAATTAACATAGACAGAGGATGCAGTTTGAAGAAATTATTTAGAATGTACTTATTAATAGGTTTACTAATAAGAAGTTAACTAAAATTTAGTTCATTCCTTTTTAAACTCCAAAAGAACAGATTTTACTAATACAAGGTATTTTGTTTGTTTTTCTTTTTGCAGTACACTAAGAATATTTTCAGGAACATCAATATCTATGAGTCATATAATAATTAAGGAGTAGGTAAAGTTAAGGGATTGAAATTGTAAGCAATATTTTCTTTTTTTCTAAATACAGAATTATACAGAAAATATTATTTCTGGACACATTGATATTTACAAAGATCATGAACAACCAATTATTGTTTTTTCTGTTAACAAAAATACAAATAAAAATGAACATTACCATCATCAGGTACATTAACCATTAAAAGTCTAATAGCAAAAGGAATGTTTTCTTTTGCATTAACAATCAAATTATTCCCTAACATATTGATATCAATACAAGTTATTTTTTTATCATCATTTTAAATTAATTTATAGACATAATTATTATTTTATGTAACAATGAGAAGTTATTGAAAATAAGAAGCACATTTTTCTGTGCTAAAAACAATTGTAAGTAAAAGATTCCACAACAAGTTTTATATATAATAAATTATTGTGCTTATGAGCAAAATATTACTTTATGAAAAAAAAAAAATATCACAAATTCAATTTAGATTGAGTGTACAGTGTGAACAATTATCATTTGAAATTTCTAAAGAAATTTTCCATCTTACATAAAGAAAATAAATAAACAATGCCAATACATGAATAAGAGTTCACTTAGTACAGCATCTGCCTTTGGAAATTTAGAATTCCATTTAGAAGGTATTCTCATTTTTCCAATGGAAGAGATTTAAATAAGAGGGTACTGAAAAGTCCTGACCAAGAAGGGATTTCAAACGGAATTGTGTTTGGTAATTTGGTCAGATTTGGTGGGGAAGTAGGTTAAGCTGAGAACGTTTTACAACATTTTCATTTTAATTATTATTGTTCATAGCAGCACATAAATTAAAATATTTTTATTGTTATTTTTTTTTCTTCTTTTTAATGATGCATCAAAATCTATTGAAGCTGCAACAGAAAAATCACAAAAGCAAATTAGATTGAAGCTATGAAGTTAGTTTTTGTTTTATTTGAAGCATAAAGCAATATAAAGTAATTGATTTGTAAGCATATCAGGCACAGATCATAAAACAAAAGCTACAAACATATTCTAATTGCAGAATCTTTTTCTTTATTAATACATTTACCAATTTCATAGAAAAATGAAATTTAGATAAAATCTTGATAAGCAAAATAATTTTGTAAAATCTCTGTTTTATACGAATCATTTCAGAATTCATTAACAACACTCCTTTTTATTCATTAACTGAAACTGGTGCAAATCTATTTGATCACAAGATTGTTATAAGTCAGTTGAACTGCAATTTACTATCTGGTCAGTACATAACATTCTGTAAACCGTTTCTGACTTACTAAAATTTGTTTTAGAAAGTCCCTTATTGTTACTGCTTAAAGTTTTATAGAAAAGACAAAGACAAATTTGGTTTTACTGATATGAAGAACTATGATAAAATTAACATTGTCAATTAATGGGTTTGAAAAAAGAACTGATAAAAATGACCTCAACTGTAATTGATAAACATTAATTCTAATTAATCTTCCAAATGACAGGGACATCAAAATTCCTACCCACACATATCATGAGGTACTGAAAATTTATTGGCCCAACACACTTTCTGATCAAACATATTTTTTCTCCCCCTTTTTGGTAGGGTGACTTAGTTGGGTTGAAAAATTTTCAGTATCTCCTTTATGTCTGTGGGTGTGTGTGTATATATATATATATATATATATATATATACCATAAATATTTATTCTTGATAATATTCAGTTCAAACTCATCACTAAGTTGAACCAATATCAAAGAATTTACTGTATGTCAAAGAAATGCAAATTCAAAAAACAGAAATCTTATAAACTGTAGCCAAAGGAAAAGTTTTAGATTTAAAATATGAATACAATTTTCAAACTGGACAGGAAATTGAAATAAGGAAAATCAGCAGATTTAGGGATCTAATCAAGCTCAACTTACTGAACTTTTGGAATATAAAGCCCTGTAGACCTTAACTTCTGCATGCCAGTGGATCAAAACCAATTACCATATTACTGTGAGTTAACTATGTCCTCATTGGATAATAAATATTAAAATATTTCTACTGTATATTTTCATGTGCTACTTATAGATTTTTGTGTAAGTTAAACACAATGCAGGCTCCAGACCTAAGTCTTACAATAATTGTTTCTGATTGGTCAATATATCTTAGTCACAACAATGTCTACACACAAGTGTTTAAACCGCCAAAACCACCAAAATCTTGAAACATGTTCTCAAGTCTACTACATGATTCACATTACTTATAAATACTTGGAAACATCTTCTCTTGATCTCTTTTTCTGTTCTCACTTACAAGCAATGTAAGCTCTGTGGAGAATTTGCATTTTTCCCTTTGGTGAAAACGCCATCACACACACACACACACGTATGTACAAACATTCACTCCTGATAACAAAAACGCCATCACACCAACACACGTTTTTTCATATAATCTTTAAACTGTTTAATTCTCTTACAAGTAACATTATATCTTACTAAAATTCTCCAAATTCACACACATTTTAATACACTTCACAATTTATCAACAAGAACATTTTCCTCACTCAAAATTCCAAGGACAAGTAAATTTCAGCTTCCATCCATCTTTTCTGTCAATACTTTCACGGCAATTGTTCAAATTACTCTTCCTTGGAACCTCAACCACATGAATTTAAGCATGATAATAGATTAGCACATAGATCTTATTTTAGTGTTGAACTAGCTAGATGCAATCATATTTACTACTCTAATAGTTTCTTTTCTCACACTTGTTGCCTGTGGAACACCCTTCCAATTTCTTGCTTGTTTGCAATCTACAATCTTCAAAAATTTAAACACAATGCCAATCACCATCTTCTGTCTTCCTGAATCCTGTTTTTTTTTTTGTTTTTTATTATCCTTTCTCATTACTAAAGTCTTCTTATCCTCTTTCACTCTCAGTAACTACTGACATCTTAGTGGCATTACTGCCTTACTTGCAATGAAATGATTTAAAAAAAAAAAAAAAAAAAAAAAAAAATTCTGGATTTGGTCCAATACAAGGATGTGCTGAAATGGTTTCAGCAAAATGCACTTTCTAAAATCAGATTTTTTTGATTTTTTTTAGAAGAGTTTAGTCAATAATTTTTCAAACAATTCTTTTTTTTTTTTTAATGATTTTAATCAAGTAATTTTTTTTCTAATGTGATGTTAAAAAAAATTACTTTTGAAGTTAAAGAAAGCAAAAATTAAAAATTTAAAAAAAATATTAAAAAATAAATAAAAAAATAAAATTCATAGCATTTCTCAATAATGCAAACAATCCTATCATTGATAAAGGGAGAAAGTGTAATGTAACTACATAACTGAAAAATATTCCAACCTGAAAAATGGTTAATTTTAAAGCATCTTACATTCTCTATTGTGTAGTTTTTCTTACATCAATATTCAAAATGTCATTGCTTATTGAGAATGCTAAATAAGGACTTTTAAAAATCTATTTAATTTTCTTTATGTAGATTTCTTCACTTAGATATCTAAGATACATAGATTAAATAAAAGAATGTCATCTATTTAATCCAAGCATTTCTAATGCCAATTAAAATTTTGTAAAATGTATGTTCCTCATAATTAAAAATCTTTAAAACAAAATCTGAAGATGGCAAAATTAGAACAGTGCTTTCCAAACTTTGGAATGAAAATTTGCTTGCATCTCAAGTTTTTTATGTGCTGAAAAATACATTTACAAATAAAAAAAAACAAAAAAACAAAAAACAGAGAGAGGGTGAAAGGTCAATTCGAATTCAGAACATTATCATTGATAACTCTCTCCTCCAATTTGCAGATCTAGTTACTATATTCTTAATACTTGATATAATGCAAAAATATCACAACAATTAATAATTATTTATTAATGCAATTACAAGTAATCCATAATATTTTAAATGTTGAAATCATTTATTTTTACCATATGAATTTTTTGAAACCGTTTCTAAATCTTTGATTGTCTTTCAATTATTCTGCCTCACCTGCTATCCTCTTTCGACACTGTTTTGGGAACCACTGAATTAGAGGACACCTTTAGATCACACAACTCTAGCCAATTAATTTTTCCTTTCTCATTTTGACTTCTAGGTGTTAAAGAAAAAATTAACTGTTTTAATAAAATATTTTCTTTACTCAGGATGTTTTCATGATGATATCCACCTATTCAACAACTGTGACTGAATAACCCTCAGGATCAATGTCTCCTCAATGTTTTTTTTTTTTTTTTTTTTTTTTTATCATAATTGTAAAGGAGTTTTCATTAAAATAAAGATAACCATGTTCATCCATCAAATAAACCTGTTATTGTCTTTGATTACCATTCTTTGCCAAATTGTTGCTTATATAAATGACTGTTTTTGATTTCAAAGCCTTTTCAACAGTACAAAAATATTTTAACCAAAAACAGTAGAAAAATAGCAAACAAATTTTTGTATTAAATGTGAAGAGAAAAGAAAAGCTATTGACATTGTAACAAGATTGAATATTGTTATTATTAACAGTAAATAAAACAGTCTTTATACTGTCTTCAATAATACAGAGGATTCTAAATGGCCAAAGAATACCAAGTGCTGTGAATATTTTAGAAACCCACTTCTTGGAATATGGCAAGAGAACTGTAATCAGAAATGACAGAATGTTTATCACATGCACTAACAGTTTAAAAAAAAAAAAAAAATGGTTGGACAATATACCACACCTGGTTCTGATGCATACAGATAAA